TATGTAACATATGTTACATATGTTACATAGTTAGCAGCCAGATCAACACACTAAGTCTCCAGTGCCGGTGATCCGGAGGTCGGTGGTTCAAGCCTGAGCAACATCCTCTATAACACTACTAACACTAATTTTATTTTGCTTTGTAAAGGTTTTTTTTTTTTTTAACCTTAGGGTAGATCTGATTCCACCCAGCAGGGGGCACTAAGGTGGGGATGGAGACAGGCAGGAATGGACTGGAAGCTATGCCCCACAAGGAGTGAGACAGGAGACCTCTTTGCTGAGTCACTGTAAAACCACAACCCTAGTGGATGCAGGTCCAGCCCTGCCCCAGTCCATAAAACACTTGCCGAACTCATTCCTGTCATTGGTTGCTATGGTTTTGCACAGCAAGGTAACAGAGAACGAGAAAAGACAACATGCCTTTGGGAGTGTGTGTGTATATTTGGACATGCTCACATATTAGGAGGAATAAGTTCCCGTCACACAGCGCAGAATGTGTCACATCATAGGAGTAATCCTTAACAGCATCTCCCACTGGGAAAACAAAAATAATATTGGGAGAGAGACAACGTGTTCTGAACATAATAGCCAAAAAAAAAATTGAACACTGATGTGTTTGGGGATGGGGTCAAAAATGTGCTCTCATCACCAATCTGTGTCACTGAAAGCTTTCTGATTTGTTTATGAATTACACAGCGTTTTAAAATAGCGAGCTAGTTCCGTGCGTCACTGCTTCGCTCAGATAACAAATTTGATTATCTACGGTGCTTTCAAACCAGAAATGAGTTTATAAGAGAAAATTTCAGATACCTACACAAGTGGTGTTTGCATGTTTTCCACATGTTGTGTGGGCTTCCTAAAGATATTGAAGTTCAAAAACATGCAGCGAGGTGAAACGGCATCTCTAAAACATCCAGTGTGTGTGACTGCATGCTGTACGTGTGAGCGTGCCCTGATGGACCGGCCTACCAACGAGGGGCTCCTGTCCTTCCTGAGAAGATGGACGGATGGACTCCTTCAGGCATGTTTTAGTGAAGCGATTTTGAAATGAGGCCACTATACAAGATAAGTGACAGAGGACAGCATAATCAACAAGGAGGGTGAAAATCATTGCCATTTGCCATATTGGAGAGATCTTCACACAGAACTTTCCAGATATACCTATGGGGCAAAGGTCAACATAGCATTAGCAGTGTGATGTTGGGCTGGACCTTGAGGCTAGCAGAGAGTAAAAATTAGCCTGATTAAAGGGCTCACACCACCGGCCATTAGGGGAGCGAGATGCACAGAGTTTAATTGTTATAATCAGGAGAGGTGAAGAAAGAATTGCAATGGCCCTAAGAACAGTAAGCTAGTGGCCTTAATTAAATAAGTAGGGGGCAATTAAATTTCAGCTAGATCGGTTTTGTGTCTCAGTTCTGCCACCTTGTGGACAAACCCTTAATCTCCACACTGGAGAATGCCCAGTCTTCCAGGACTTAGAAGAGCAGTCCAGCTGATCTCCCCCCCACCCATCACCATGGAAACTACCACATCCAGGCTCTAAGGAAGGTAGGGGTTCATCTCTGTAAATGGTCCAGATGAAAGTGGAAATATGTTCAGCCCATCTGCTTGTGTCAGAAACATTTTCCTTGTAGAGGAAAAAGAAAGCAAATGCATGAAAATGAAAGAAAAGCATTGAGCCTTGTCCACTGATCAAAAATAAAATATATATGCAGACAATGACATTATCTTGGCCTCAGTTGTATATATTTCAACCCCACTTTCTCTCATGCTCAGCTGTTATGGGCTTGGCCAGTATGGATAAAAAATAATGACTATAAAGACCATTAAAAAAATTAGAAACCATTTAAAGTTCAGTCTGCCCCCTAGTGGAAGCAGCAGCAATTGCGTCACTGACTAGAGCAATTAAACGAAGAAATAAAAAATATTTCACATAAACCTATCATAGTTGAAAACAAATGGTACAAACATTATTCGGTTTTTATTCTCACAAACTAAAACACTGACCTTGATAGCCTTTAAAAAGTGGTGTGCTAGTTGCCTTGTTTTTAAATGATTCTGTGAACCAACAGAGAGCAGAATTATCACCATCAGAGGGGACTCTGTCGCTCGCCACCTGCAAACCGGGAGTCGTTAAGTCCTGCGGACCTCCGCTCCGCGTCTCCGCGGTGAGATCTGCGCGATACCGCCGACGCGGCTGGCAGCCGGAGAGGCTCCGCGGCGCCCGCTTTCGCTTCCCTAAAAGCGCGTCATTTCTCTTACTTGGGTGGGATGCTGGTGCGCGGCACATGGGGCAAAGGGTGGGGGGTGGGAGCGCACGTGAAAGAAATATTACAAACATTTTGGAAGCAGAGAGCGGCCCCTGCTTCATCGAGCAGTTTATTTTCAAGTGCGATCTAATCTCCTGCTACCAAATTAATTAGTCAATTAGCATACCAAATTAGTAAACAGCTATGATGCATGGAATGCGTCCAAGCGGTGCTGCCAGCGTCGTCTTGTGGAGAGAGAGAGCACTGGGTCGCGGGGTGGTCTTCCCTGTTAGAGGAAAGGTAGCAGGAAAATAAAAGGTTACTGCAAGCAGAGGCACGCAGCTCCATCTGCGAGCGGTAATAAAATCTGATGCTACAACCGATTTATTAAAATGAGCATAATTATACCGGCAATACAATCATTGACTTTTTTTCCCGTTTTTTTGTGGAGCTAATTAAGAGATTGTGGCTAAATTAAAGCACGTAGGTTCACTCTAAACCCGGTTAAGTTGAATTTACTTAAAAAAAACTCAAGGAAACTGGTTGCCCTAAAAAATTTAAGTAACGTTTACTGGAAAACTTGAAGTAATCATTACTTAAATATAAGTAATTTTAACAACCATTTTAAGGTGAATTTACTTAATGCTTTTAATTTGTCTAATTACTCCATTCCTCTAATTGCATTCAATTACATGGAGAAACATTTTTTCCATTTAGAAATTTTCATTTCAAAATACAACAGTACAGTAAAGACAAGTTTAAAACAAGTTTTATTTTTTTAACAGGTTTCATACTTTTCTCTCTACTTTTTTTTCGCCTCACGGGAGTTAACGTTAAGACTTTGCACCGTTAGTTGGCGGGTGAAAATACCACCACGTCTTTTCAGTGCTGGCAAACAACCCCTCGATTTACAAAAGTGAACAATAAACTAACTAAGCGTCCGCGAAAAACGCTTCACATATGTGGAATCGTTTTCGCCACGTGAGAGTGAGAAATCAAGAACTTTAACAGCAAAATGCCCTAAATTATTCAAAAATAATGTTACTCACAAACACCCCTTTGATGGGAAGAAAAAAAAAATGAACAGCCGATGCCACGACTATGCCCGCCAAATTCTCCTTCCAGGTGTTCAAGCCAGACTCGCGTAAAAAAAAGCGGAAACATATTTAAGACAGTGTTTTCCAGCACTCACAAACAACCTCTCGATGGAAAAAATGAAACAAAAACAAGATAAAACGTTTACGTTCTAACTGCTCACCAAATCAAATGCATATACAACCACAAAATGGCGTCTTCTAAACTGCTCACTAGGGGGTAAAGGGGGCGTGGTCAATCAAAAACTTTTTACATTTAAACTTAACACATTTCACTATGTCTACAAACGTAGTAAAATTGACTTGCATTTTTATATTAATGAACTAAATCTTAAATTATTTAAGTATGTTGCAATTAAACTGTTTAATTAGATACAAAATCTGGGCTAACAGTGTTGTTGTAAGGAAGGCCAATGGTCAAATTTCGTTCACTTCACTTCGTTTGCATGAACTGCACACACGAACACATGCGTGCCACTGCCATTGTCGTCTAATGTCTTATTTGTCTCCACTCGCGCACTATTTTAGATTCAGGTGATTGTACCAATTAACAAATAGTTCTCCCCTTGCAGCCTTTTGTAAGACACCAGAGATGTACAATCTTCTTGTCCCACGGCGCTTAATTAGCTACATTGATTGCTTCCTTCAGACTATCAACAATGAAAAGTTTTTTTTTTCCTGAAGAAAAAAAAACAAGACAAATCTGTGGAACTGAGCTCTGTCAGTGATTAAGACGACAATAGAAAGAAAGAAAAAAAAAGTGTAGAGATTGTCAGGAGGCAGAGAGAGGAGGATGATTGACATGTGCACATTGCGGAGGAGTGACAGGTTCTGCTACGACAGCAGGTCCAATGGCACAGGCCTCCTGGGCCAGAACCACCAGGGACTGATCGGGAGAGAAGCATGAAGAACAATTGCTATCTCACTCTGTCTAACGGGGACTATTATTAAGTATTGCATGTGCAGGAGAGCAGAAACACCCTGAAGGGATTATGTGTCTGGAAAGTGTGGCGCTCGAGCTGATATCTTCTTTTTTTCTGATATTTGTTTCGCTACTAGCACCCACCTTTTTTTTCCCTTTCTCTCCCCCCCCCCACACGTTATGTTTGCAGCTCCTTTCTCAATCAAGTGCCAATCTGCTCCCCCCTCGTTTCTGCGCTTAACAGCTGTAACGCTGGAGAGAGGGAATTAATATCGGCGATTCCCACTGTCTGCCTGGCAGCCGCCTCGGATCGGGCACCAGTCGTTAGCAGAACGCTCTCTGGTGCCGCATTTCCTGCTTGCGAGCCTTTGCCGGTGTCCCTTGTGTAACGCAACACTTGAGAAACAAAAGTAGTAATGGCTTCTTCTTGCTTACTTCCAGATAAAGGAGTCTTCATCATTAAAAGAGGGCTAATGTACACATATAACACACTAACACATTTATTTAATCTTTAAAGCACTTTTTTTGTGTTTGATTTGCGTTTACAGGCTGGAAGGATACGAAACATTTGCAATTTACTATATAGTGCAACTGACTGTTTACTGTGCATATGAAAACAAACTTTTGAATCTTGAATCTCCAGTGTTGTGCAGCGTAAGCAGTTTGACAGTAGAATATGGTGTAGGTAACATACTTCCTTTTCGGGGAAACTGTCAGCTTGATACTGACGTTTCATAGCCACTAACTTCACAGATGTTTTCACCACAGCTGTTCAGATGAAGGCCCTTGCCAAAGGTATCCCACTGTTGCTGTGGTAGAGGTGTCCCTCCCCTCCCTGGGGCACCCTTTAAACACACAGCGACACTACATACACTGACCACCACACCGCTCTGAGGGCAGAATCCAGATGTGCCCTTGTGTTACACGGTCAGGCGGCGAAACGTGTTCGGGAAAGGCTCTGAGGAATCGTCAGCTCGCAGAAACGAATGACCAAAACAATGTTTGGTGAAAGTTACATGTTGTCGAGGGAGCCTCGCGTTTCCGATAACGGCGGAGCACTCTATCCGCCATACGAGGGCTTCTGGTGACCCGTCGACAATGTGAGATATCAAAAAAGCATTAGGCGGGGTAGCAGTGTTAGAAAGTCAGCGTGCAGCGATGGTTATACCCCGGTGCCTCACGGCATGTAAGCAGGCGACCTAAGGCTGTAATTCAGCTCTGCGATATTACGCTAAAATATGGCGAGGATAATGACAATAATCAAAAAAAAAAAAACAAGACGAACAACAGTTCAACACAGAAATTAATTAGCGTGCATGTGGCAGCAGCAGTAGACTAATGTGTTTGGAAATCATTTGAAACAAACCTGCTATAGTAAATTGTTTCTATTGCATTACTGTGGTTTTTGGCCATAGAGGGTGATTGGGGACAAAACCTGAATAGCTTGGAATGGATTATTGTTTCATAATTTGCAGAATAGCCAAACTGTTAACTGAGCACATGATGACAGCTCATAATGAAGCACACTAGAAAAATTGCACCTGTACTCACGCACACTACTGCCACTACTCACACTCATGTTACTACTATTCTACTACTGCTACCAATACTCATATTCTAACTATTACCAGTACTCTTACTCATACTACTACAATTCTGCTACTACCAGTACTAATACTCATACTACTACTATTCTACTACTACCACTACTCATACTCATTCTACTACTACTACCAGTATTAATACTCATATTACTACTATTCTACTACTACCACTACTCATACCAGCACTACTACTACTCCTACTACTATTACTAATAATAATAATAAAGTGATCAGAAGATGGATAATCATAATAATACTACATTTACTGGTGTGACCCTGTACTGGACAAGTGTTTATGGAGGATTGATGGATGGATGGACTTGCTCCACATCACTCATCGAGATGGATTCCGTAATATTTGCTCAGATTGACTTCCTGTGAGTAGACGAACATTTAAAGCTGCATTTTCGGCTGGCAGAATTCTCTTTGTCCGTTCACGCGCAGCACCCCTCCGCGTGGTGCGCAGGTGGGTCTGCTTCCACAGCTCGCCGTCGTTCCTGGACCTGGGCCGATACGGATGCCCCCCCCACCCCCTCCTTGGGTTTCCTGGCTCCGGTTTGGCAGCCGTGAGCTGTGGGGCCGCAGATGGCGGGCACACGCCGTCGACTCTGACCAGAGACACATGTGGCCGAGAGCTTAGTGGGCGGGCCGGCATTTCTTCGGACCAGGCGTCCTCGTCTCCCTCCCCCCAACGATGCTCCCGCTGGTGGTCTTTGTGAGACGTTGAGGACCCCCCCCCCAACAATGGGGATTGTCTATGGCACAGCCTGGCTCACCTCACTCTACTTGAGCACCCCCCCACCCCGTTACCTCCTCCCCCCAACTGGAAGACCCTGTCATCTGCGGTTTGGGGTCGCATCTCCTCCTCCATGCAGACGCTGTCTTTAGTTTCAGTGTCTCCTGCATTTCCCAAAGGATGAAGCAGGTCACAGCTTCACTACACGTTCAGCTTTGAATAGCTGGGTTGCTGGATGAAAGGAAAGGAACTTCATATGGTACTTTAGGGAAGTCACTTAGCAAAACCTCCCTCTCTAACCGTACGGTAGAAAAAAGCCCCCCCCCCCCCGTCTGGGCACGTCTGCACCAGGTCAAACTTCTGTCTCAAAGTTTTATTTTGACAGCCAGAGTGCGTTAGATTCATGGCGGCTTGACAAGTTTGTTCAACGTCGTCCTCATTAACATGGAGCTTAATGAGATTTTCCAGGAGGGAAGTGACTAATTGCTAACTCACTTGAGCATCATTCTTCATGGACGAATATGACAATTGGTTTTTGAAAGCCAGCTACACGCACAAAGAGGCTTAATCTGTCTAGAGCGCCGAGCCAAATAAACAGCAGATGAGCAAAAACAGACGAGAGCAGATGCTAGATGGACCTTGTACCTTGAGCGATATGCAGACTGATGCATTGTGGGCCACCTTGACCTCCAGGATGACATCATCTTTTTGTGCAAAGAAACAAGACCCAGAACCTGGACTGTACATTGTTAATATGTTCTAAAAAAAAACAATATAAAAACATTATCGCTTGTCTTTTAAGGGTTACTAACCACTGGTGAAGAGGCATGAAGTCATGGCTATTTTTTAGTTGGTTATCAGGCAACACAGGGCTGATCGTGTGCTGATTGTGATCCTCCGTGTAAAAGCAAGGTCTCAATCAGATTCATGTTCACTAGATAAAATAAAATGTAAGACAAAGACAAATGTGCTTCGGCTTTCTTACTGAAGTTCATACTTGTTGTAAAATTGTTGTTTTTCCAATACAGCTTATAATTAGACACTTAATTTGAACTGGACAAAGTCCAAAGTCTTTATGATGATATTGCAAGGGTACCTGCGAATGATTGACGTGAGGCATCACATTTTTTTTTCACTTTTCTCATTCTAATTTCACCATTCTCTGCTCCTTTCCAGTGAGCGATAGTCATGCCAGTGTCAATGATGCGTTACAGCGACATTCCCGAAACGCACCGGGGGAACCCCCCCCCAAGAAAGGGGAAACTCACAAGTCTGCTAAAGAAAGCTGACAAGAAGAAGTAAAATGCCACATGACTTGTTTTATTAACAAAACGGTGTCAAACTCTTTTACGCAACAGGACTAGAGCCTCAGATGTACGCTGCCGCAATGAGGCATCGAGAATCAAACAAAATGTTGATACAAGGGGGGTGATTTCACGTCTGTCCGCAGGGTAACGGGATGCGATCGCTTCCAAATGGAGTCTCTGTAAAATGGATGTGATTTTCTGCGTGTGGTCATTGACTTTTATGGTCCTGATCACCTCATATACGCTGCCAATGTAAATATGGAGAGCTGCCAGGCGGGGGCCCCGTCGAGCGTCGTTAGCCCCACGCCGAACCCCGACATGTTCTGCTCCCCGACGCGGAGCCGGAGGAGGCCAAGCCAAACGCGGCCGCGCCACGCGCTTTATCGCCCGGGGGAGGAGGTTCTGCGGTCCGCAGGGGGCCGAGGCCCAGCAGCCGCCCCGTGGCCGTTCCCTGCAGCGGCTACGTAATTTATGCGCCTGGATCCACCAGGGGGGGCACCAGCAAAATGGGCCCGGCGATGGGAGCATAACTCATGGACCGAAGATGGGAGACATGCCGTGTTGCGGGGCGGGGGGCCCCCAACGCCATGGCTGCCTTTTCTAATTAGGGTCCTACGATTTTAGCAGTCCTTTTTTTTTGCCTGTAGTA